CCCCCCGCCCCCCCGCCTCTCTCACTCCCCCGGCTGCAGGGAGGCAGCAGGCCTTGGACCTGGAGTCGGGCCTCAAGGGGATCTCCGGGCCCTTCGGGAGGGCTTTCCTGGGAACTAACCCACTCGCCACCTCAGGCTCCCAGGGCACAACGCGAGCCTCCCAGGGGACCTTCCTTAGTGAGGGGACCTCTCCCCCCACATCCCTGGCCAGGCAGACGGACCGGGAGGAGGGGCTCCTGGCAGAGGTACGGTGTGGATTCCAGGACCCCAAGGTCATCCCGGCCAGTGACCGGGCACTGTATGGCTCAGGGCGGGGGGTGGGCGGACGGGGACAGAGGAGAAGGAGTGGGGTCTGGCACCCCAGTCCTGAGGGAGGGGAGGAGGGAGTCCAATCCAACCCCTCTGGTCCCCACCAGGGAGGGAGGCGGTCACAAGCCCGGGCCCCCGCTGTGGGCGAGGGAGCCGGAGCCGAGGGGGTGGAGAGGGGAGAAGCGAGGCCCCTCCCGCAGGCAGCCCCCGTGGAGGCTCAGGGACACAGCGTACCTTTCTTCCCGTCTCCAGAGGTAAACTCGTGGGGGAAGTACTCCTGCGAGACAAAACCACGGTGAGCCGTGCCTGTAGGTGGCACCACCGCTCTGTTCACCACCCGGGCGGGCTGGGCGGAGTCGGAAACGCTGCAGTGGGAGGACTGGCCGGTGCCCAGGGGCCATCAACAGGCTTATCACATGTCCCTGCCAGGCCCAGCCTTGGGCGGGATGGATGCAGGCCAGGCCGCCAGCCAGCGGGGAACCGGCAGCCAGGCCCAGCCCCACTTGGGCCTCCGGGTGGTGCCACTCTGCGGGGAGACCCCACGGAGACCCAGGGTATAAGGGGCTGAGGCGGGGAGTTTGTCTCTTTGCCAAAGTCTAAGGGCCACTGCACCGCAGGTTAAAGAAACACCAAGTTCCTCTCTGTTATCAGAGGTGAGACCCCTTTCATGTGGACACCTGGGTCCGCTCAGACTGACCCGTGTTCTGGGCGAGCGGGAGGGGCGTTACTGTGTGATGGGGCACCGTGTGTGGCAGCCGGGATCACCCCGTGCGTGGGGCCTGCGGAGAGCCACGCCAGGTCCTCAGTGCACACGGGCCGGCGAGAGCCTTTCAAACGGTCTCCGCTAAAACCAGACCCGGCAGAGCCAGAGGGAGACGTGCTGCTTCTCCACAGGTAACAGAGCAAGACAGCTTCTCCGGGCCCGGGACCCGCGGTGCATGGAGAGGTGGGGGAGAGGTGCGCCACGTCCCGGGAGGCAGACAGCGGCCTTCCCTCTGGCCTGTGCTCTGCAGAGGCTGCCCCGCCCGGCCGCAGGTTGCCCACAGCGTGCGGCTCTGTCCCCCTCACAGCCCCGCGGGCCCAGGTGCAGCCCCGGCCTCACCTTGCCCACGCGGTTGATGGCACAGGTGAAGCAGTGGTTGGCGATGGCCGCGTTCCTGGCCTCGATCGGCCACATGGACTCGCTGTGAGAGAAGAACGGGAGGAATTCTCGCTGTGCCTGTGGGTGACCCCACGCTCAGGCCCGGGCAGCCCTTTGGGAAGCCAGCTGCAGGCAGGAGCCTCAGTTTCCTTTTCTGAAAACCCCTCGAAGGGAGATAGATAGTAGAGACCAAATGACCCTGCACACAAGCTTCCAGAGGGGGCCGCAAGGCGGACTCCACACCTGCTACTTCTCCTCCCGCTCCTCCTCCGGGCGGTGAGGAGCCCGCCCCCCAGGCTGGGCAGAGCCTCACCCAAAACGGCCCCTGCGAAGGCTCTGCCCCCGCCCACCCCGTGTCTCCCGGTGAAGCAACTGCAGGGAGAGGGTCCGGCCAGGCAGCAGGGACCCCGAGGGAGCGAGGGCCGGGGGAGGGTAGGTCCTGCAGCAGGTGTCACCTCCCCAGAGTGGGTCCCCTTTCCCAGGGCCTTTCCGGTTTTCTCTTCCGAACCCCGAGCGTCTAAGCAGGGTTCCTTGTCCTCCTAGTGGCCCAGGAGGGGGCAGCCTCCTGCGCAGCTGAGTTGTGGCTGCCCTCAGCCCAGCACCTGCACGGGGAGGGGACGTGGCCCCAACCGGAGACCCCGTCCTCCTCCGGCCACCAACCAGTGTGCCACGGAGCAGAGTGGGCCTGCTGGTCACTGATTCTCTCTCTCTCTTTTTTTTAAAAATATATTTTTATGGAGTTCAGAGAGGAAGGGAGAGGGAGAGAGAGAAGCATCAATGATAAGAGAGAATCATGGACCAGCTGCCTCCTGCACGCCCCCCACTGGGGATCAAGCCCACAACCCGGGCCTGTGCCCTTGACAGGAATCGAAGTGTGACCTCCTGGTTCCTGGGTTGACGCTCAGCCCCTGAGCCGGGCCGGCCGCTAATGATCTCCTGTCTGAGGAGCGTCACGGAGTTCAGGATTGACAGGCGTGATGCCCGCTCGGAAAGACTGGGCGACGGGAGCTGAGCAGCACCTGGTTTAGAGCAGGGAGGAGGCGGAGGGGGCGGCGCTGCCACAGCCTCGTGCTCAGGACTCACGCGGCTGGCAGACAACAATCGCCGGCTTGATTGAGGGGCTCATTTGCTGCGTCTCCCCAGCTGCTAAGCGGAGCTGACGGAACTTTGAAGAAAGGATCTTTACAGAAACACGCCCGTCAGTGACATTTGCAGGGATGACACAGACAGTCGCGGGGCGAGAGCGGCATGCAACGTCTCCCTTGCGATTCTCCGGGGAGGATGTGCTGCGTCGGACTCAAACCCACAGCTGGCGGCCCACTCGGGCTCTCGCAGCGAGCGAGGGAAAGGAAGCTGGGGGTTCGTGAGAGCCCAGCACGTGCGGGAGTCACACGGAGCCCAGCGGGGCCGTGGGGACATCTGCCGCGTTCCCAGCGCGGCTCCGCGAGCCCCTAAAAATAGAGGGGGAGGCGAACCGCAGCCCGGGGGCGGGGGGCTGGGACGGCGGCTTTCTGATGAGCGCACGTCTGTGGCCGAGCTTCCACCACACGGGCTGCGTGTGACCGTCAGGGTGACCCAGTTCATCGGAAAAGCAAGGCAAGCCCTGGCCGGTGTGGCTCAGTGGATAGAGCGTCGGCCTGCGGACCAAAGGGTCCCGGCTTCGATTCCGGTCAAGGGCACGTATCCTCGGTTGCAGGCTTCTCCCCGGCCTGGGCCCTGGTGGGGCGTGTGCAGGAGGCAACCCATCGATGTGTGTCTCTCACATCGATGTTTCTCTCGGACCCTCCCTCTCCCTTCCATGCTCTACAATCAATGGGAAAATTCCCTCTGGTGAGGATGAACAGCAAGAAGAAAACACTTTGCTGGTTAAAAACAAGGTTCAGAGCTGCGGGTGGGCGTTAAGGACCCTCCGCTCTGACTCCCTCCCTTGCTTTTTGCCCACGTGCCTGCCCTCCCTGCACTGGGTGCTGCAGAAAAGAGACGAGGGGCCATGGCGGGAGGAGCTGATGCTGGCCAGACAGCCCTGCCCTGGCCCTGGAGAAGGGTTTTTCGATCCTGACGACGAAGGCGGTGAGTGGGGGATTCTTATCGTCTCAAGGTCAGGGTCATAGCCAAGTGTAGCAGCACCACACAGAGGGCAGCCCTGCCGGGGCTGCAATGGGCATGTGGCGTTCGGGGTGTTTTCCGTGTCACAGAAAAGCTGGTTGAACACACAACACACAGGCCCCGGGCTCAGATTGATTAGATGTCCTGGTGGTGGCACCTGCCTGTTCCCCAGACCACCTCCAAGGATCCTCCCAGATGCCCGCTGCCCGGGAACCTGAGCGCCCCAGACCCTCCCAGATCCCGCTGCCCCCGGGCTCAGATTGGTTAGATGTCCTGGTGGTGGCACCTGCCTGTTCCCCAGACCACCTCCGAGGATCCTCCCAGATGCCCGCTGCCCGGGAACCTGAGCGCCCCAGACCCTCCCAGATGCCCGCTGCCCGGGAACCTGAGCACCCCAGACCCTCCCAGATGCCCGCTGCCCGGGAGCCTGAGCGCCCCAGACCCCCCAGATGCCCGCTGCCCCGGAACCTGAGCGCCCCGATGGTGGCTGAGGGGTTGAAGATGATGTCGGCCCCGTTGACGCTGTACATGAACCAGTTGAGGGGGTGGTGCCGCCCGTAGCAGATGTTCACCGCGATCCTCCCGAACTGCGTCTGGAACACGGGGTGGCCCAGGTTCCCCTCCATGTAGTAAGTGGACTGGAAGACAAAGGCCATGGCTTGATCTGTTTCCCTTTTAGAGGGAGAGAGAGAGAGAAACACCCACCGGCTGCCTCCTGCACGCACCCTGGCCGGGGAGCGAGCCCACCGCCTGCGCCTGTGCCCTGACTGGTCCACGGGCAATGCTCCAACCAACTGAGCCCCACCAGCGGAGGCCACGCGCTGAAGCCTCTGAGCTGTGAGAGCCCCTGTCCTTTGACTCGGCAGAAAAAAACACAAATATCGCCAGTTCTCCAGAAGTGCCCCTCGGGGTGTGGCTCGCCTTCAAGTTTGAAACTCCAATGTCTCCAAAACAAACAAAGCACAGAGAACCCCGACATAATAGCGAGGAGCCAGCCCAGGGGAAATCCCCGGGGCTCCCGCATTTCCCCGCTGTGACGTCAGAAAAACACCCCAAGCAACTTCCCTCAGTATCTCAGGCCCAGCGTCGGTGAGGCCTCGGTCTCCGTGCAACAAAAGGTTGAGGTCTGGTCAGTGTTATCGTGAGCTGGTCAGTGTCCTCACCAGTCACATGTTCCTATAAAGAAGGTTAGAGCCCAGCCGGTAGGGCTCAGTGGTTGAGCGTTGACCTTTGAACCAGGGGGTCACGGTTCGATTCCCGGTCAAGGGCACAGGCCCAGGTTAAGGGCTCGACCCCCCAGTGTGGGGCGTGCAGGAGGCAGCCGATCGAAGATTCTCTCTCATCATTGATGTTCCCTCTCTCTCCCTCTCCCTTCCTCTCTGACATCAATAAAAATATATTTACAAAATAAAGAAGGTTAGAGCTGAAGGGACGGGAGCTCATCAAGAGCAACCCCCGCCCACCCGGGGGGAAGGTGGGAGCCTCAGTGGGCACATGACCTGCCCGCTCACGAAGGCCGGCCTGAGCCTGGAACTCCCGCCTGAGTGCG